CTGGCTACTAGTAAACAAGAAACAAGACACACAGCTTGTTGTGAGGTGATGGTGGGATTGTGACTTTGTTTCGTGAAGACAGAGCTGGTATCTTTCAGAGAGGCGTACACGTGGGATTGCGGTGGGTGGGAGTGGGTGCAGGTGTAGATGAAACATCGGCCACACAGCGATCATTATCGAAGCTTGGCGCTGGGCATATCAAGTTCGCTAAACGATTCTATGCTTTGATTAGGTTTTAAAATTTCCACAATGAAAAGAAAAAAGAAAACTTTCCTTTCGATTAAGTGGCCAGCGATTTCTCCTGGAAGAGTACACTGGGTGCATGACTTTTAAGACCTCCCCATGAGGGGAGACATTAGCCCCCTGACTCCTCTCATGAACCAAAGCAGTGATCACAGCGGGTGCCCTGCGTGCATGGGTCAGGCCAGGCTCTTGCTCTCTGCCCTTCCCGGGCTCCCCCTGCCCCCCGACGCTCACAGTAGAGCCAGAGTCCTGGCCCTGCCCAGCACGTGACCCCCAGCCCCTTCCTCAGCGTCTCTGTCCCGTCCTCCCTGACTCAGCAGGCTGCTGTGGCGTTGGCCTCCTTGCTGCTCTTACTAGGGTCATGGCCCTGGTCCTGGAAGACCCCCCCCACCCCCAAGACACTCACATGACTCACTCACACGGTTTCAGATGGTCACCCCCCAAAGGACCCTCCCATGACCAATTAATGCCCATCCTCCCTGTCACTCCCCAGACCTTGGTTTCTTCATAGCACTTACTACTCTCTGATGCCATTGAACCTATTGGTTTATAGTCTGTCTGCCTCACTAAAGATAAGGGGGCTTCATGGGGCCTCTGTGCCTTGAGCGAGAACCCCAATGGGTTGCTGGCTCTTACCATATGACCGTGCCCTGGTGTTCCCGTGTCAAGACCAAATGCTCCAGGTTTCTGGTTCGAACTTTACGGTTTTTCCAAGAACCTTGTCTCTAAATTCGAATGCCATTTAACCAAGCAGGTCTGAACGGTTCATGAAGGCAACATGACTCCAGTTCCGGGCTTAGGTGTGTGTCGGCATGGGCGTGGGGGGCCGAACGGGCGGGAGCCTGTCAGGAGTCAGCATCCCCCCAGGCGGGCTGAAGCGGAACGGTGACCGAGGGAGGGCAGGAAGCACTTATAACCGAACCCACTTGTCCACACCATCTGTCAAGCCCCAAATCGGCACCTGCACCGAGACCAAAATAATGGCAGCCCTCACCTGCTAGGCATGTGCTGGTGTTCTGCACAGCTTTGCGGAGGGGACCCGCCCGGCGGCCCTGCTGGTAGTATCCCCAGGCCACTGGCAAGAGAAGAGGCTTGGAAGGGTTAATTTAGCTTGCATTGTATTTTTTTTTTTTTTTAAGATTTTATTTATTTGACAGAGAGAGCGAGCGAGAACACAAGCAGGGGGAGCAGCAAGCAGAGGGAGATGCAGGCTCCGTGCTGAGCAGGGAGCCCGATGTGGGATTCAATCCCAGGACCCTGCGATCATGACCTGAGCTGAAGGCAGACACTTGTGTGTGTGTGTGTGTGTGTGCGCGCGCTCGTGAGATGGGGGTCAGGGGAGCACTGAGAAGACAAGTGAAGATCACCCTGAAAACTACTTTTTCTCTGGCTAATCCACCACCTAATCTTGGCAGGAATACTGGGCTAATTTCAATATTTACCAAACTCAATAATAAAACCAATACGCAATAATATAACAAAAAAATAACAATTACCAGTCATATAAAAACCGGGCAACATCTGTGCGAGTCACATTAGTAACACGTTTAGCTTCGAGTTTGTAACTTGAGCCCGACTGGACCCTCGGGGCTCTGGGAAGATGCCCACCCAACACCAAGCTGCAGGTGCTTGTGGGGGGGGGGGCAGGGAGCAGTGGGGAAGAGGGGATGGAGCCTGCAGTGTCCTGCCTCACTTTATAAAGAGGTATACTCGTGAGTTTCTGGCATAAGAAGAGATTTTAACATGTTGATGATTCAAGGGAAATGCATCCCAATATTGTTTCCTGGTATTGGAATAATGGTGATTTTAAAATTACTTCAACTTTTCTGTATATTCCAAATTTTCTTTTTTTTAAAGATTTTATTTATTTATTTGAGAAAGAGAATGAGAGAGAGAGAGAGAGAGAGAGAGAGAGCACATGAGAGGGGGGAGGGTCAGAGGGAGAAACGGACTCCCTGCTGAGCCGGGAGCCCGATGCGGGACTTGATCCTGGGACTCCAGCATCATGACCTGAGCCGAAGGCAGTCGCTTAACCAACTGAGCCACCCAGGCGCCCTGTATATTCCAAATTTTCTTTACTGAAGATATACTGAAATTGTGGAAGAATCAATCACCTTTAAAATATCTTTTAAAAATGGATAGCAAATGATGACCTCCTAAGTTCTAGAGGTGTTAAGGAATAAAAATGTCTGCATGGGTGACTGCTGTTTTAAAGGTAGCTCTCTCTCACACACACATGCAGAGATTTAAATTGTACTATATGAAAAATTTTTAAGAAAGATATTATTTGAGGGATCATGGATGATTTGAGAAGTTTCATTTTTTACTCACACATTTAAAAGCAGTAAGAAATATTTTAAAATATCTCAGTACAGGTACATTTTCGACTTCAAATCACCTTACTGGGTTCGCGTCAGCCTCCCAACTCATGAGTGTTTTACTGCAGACGGACCGAATGGGTGGTTCAGTGAGTCAGCGCCTAGACCTCAGGTGATGGGCCGCCTCGTGGACAGCCAGATGCATTAAATACTTCCCAGCCTCCCGCACGGGCTGGGCTCTTAGAATTCTCAAATAAACAACGGCCGTTTCTAAAAATATTAACTCTATGAAGAGTCCAGCGTGAGTACTCTGTCACCCAGGTAAAGATCTACAAGTGATACTTTGTTGTAAGGCAGCCTTGGATTCCGATTTCCCCAAATTCGTGATTGAAAGGCTGCCTGCCCAGCACACAGCGCCCCCAGGTTTGGTTGGATTCCAAGGGTCACTTTAAGCCACCCCCCCCATGGCAGGGAACACACTGGGGCTTGACTGGACATGAGGACCCGAGTTCTAATCTAGGTTCAGAACCCAGGGACTGTCCCCTCATGAGTAAAAAGAGATTTGGACCTCATCTCCGAGGCCCTTTCCCCCGCTGCTAACATCCTGATTCTAAGCCTTTAAACTTGACACTGGAATGAGGGGCAAATATGTTTCTTCAAGAGCTGCTGGTCCCTTTCTGGACCTGGAACAGCTGAGAATGAGGACTGTGTTTTATCGGGAGCAAGCCGTCGGCAAAGCGATCCGCACAAATGTTCCGGGGCTTAAAACAGACCCTCTTTTCTGATGTCTGGCATTTTAGATATTTAGTAACCTTTTTTTTTTTTTTTCCTTTTTCTTTTTAAAGTAAGCTCCACACCCAGGGTGGAGCCCAATTTGGGGCTTGAACTCACAATCCTGAGATCAAGACCTGAGCTAAGATCAAGAGTCAGAGACGCTCAACTGACAGAGCAACCCCCACCCCCACCCCCTATTTAGTATCTTTTTTGTCACACGAGACTGGTCCTTTGGTGAAGTCCCTCGCCTCCTTGACAAGGTTCCTAGCAAAGGCGTTCCAGCCTGGACTTGCCATCAACTCAATCTGTGGTTGTTTCTCAGGGAGCCTGCCCCTTAGGGAGCCCCGCACACCGGGGGCTTAAACAGACACCCAGCTTCCCACGGCGCTGGGGCCTCCGAGCCTGAGAGCAAGGGGTCGGCGGAGGTGCTTCTCGTGGAGCTGGGGTCTCCTCTTCTTCAGGGACGCCGGTCACACCGGCCGAGGGCCCACACTCACGGCCTCATTTACACGCAGAGACCTCTGTAAAGACCCTCTGCCCCCAATACCACCACACTCTGAGGTGCTGGGGGCCAGCACTTCACCATTCGAATCCTGGGGGGACACAATACAGCCCATAGAATCCACTGCCGTTTACGGTTTTTCTTTTTCGCGTACTTGGTTGTATTTTTAGTAGGTTTACTGTAATGAGCGAGAGTTTAAAGAACCAAGACAGGCCTGGCTCACGTGCATGTGAAACCCAAGTGCTGCGTAAGGACCTGTCGCCTGACCAGAAAGGATACCTGCATGTGTTAGGATTGACTGAAGACCTTCCAGAGCTGCCCTGGGGAGCAGCTTCAGGGGGAAGAAAGCGACGGTCAAGCCCAGACCCCCAGGGAAGCTGAGTTCACAAAGGGAAGATTCGTCCCACCACTCGACAGTCATCTTCCTGGATGGCTGCGTGCACAGCACTCCGACGGCCACACCAAAAGCCGGTCACGTTTTCACCTGCCCAGACCAAAGCCTCGCTTCCCCACAGAAGTCTCACCAGGCACGGGCCCCAGGCTGCCAACACCGGGCCGCCTGCGGGCTGCTTACGAGCGCAGGGGTCCACACCCCACCCCGGGCCCCGTGAATCCAGCTCTGGCCGGGAACCGGGGCTTTAACAAGCACCCAAGAGCCCCCCCCGCCCCCGCCGAGGCCGTGGGTCTCTGCTCCGAGGGCTGTGTGCTGCTGTGCGCGCACCCACGATTCACCCGTAAGAAAAGTCATGCTTGCAAAACTCAGCACACCTTTATTTCACACCCACTGCAACCCAGTCCAGGCAGACAAGTACCCTGTGTTCCAGCCATGATCAAGACGACCTGCCTCCATTTGGTAGGTCACTGAAAACCCCGCACGTTTAAATAAAAATCACATAAAAGATTCCTAGAGAAACTGACCTAGCAATAGATTTCCTCTTCATTAGTAAACTCAGCAGGTACTGCCAGGGGAACACAACGCAAACCAGAGCGTGAGATCTGCTAAGCCGCAGGACTGTAGACACGTGCGCTTTCAGGTCTACAGATTAACCACGAACGTCCAAGGGCCTGATTTGACTGTTAGCAGCCACCACGAACTCGAAGAGGAAAATCAAGGGCACTATGGAAATTTCACTCTTCCTGGAAATTCAGTCCCACACTGTGGACAAGGGTCCGGGGCACCCGAGGGGCAGCAACGCTGACCCGAGGGCCCTGCTGACGTGGGGAAATGCACCTGCTGTGCCTTTCCTGCTTCCCGATGTCCCCTCCACTGGCCTCATGCTAACTTGGTCCTCTGGGCTCAAGGGACTGTTCCATTGCATCTTTACAGGTCCAAGACCTATCTTGGCGAAACCCAAGGGTAACATGCCCTGTCGGCGGTTTGGGTTGGACCGCTCTCAGATAGTAGACAAGATGCTCTTGGGGTGCGAAGGCCATTCTGTAGGTTGCATTTGTGTGTGTGCGTGTGTATATACAGGTGTATCTTGGCTCCTACGGGAGACAAAGCTTTCTTCCTCTTCCGCAAGAGAACACGCGGCCGGCACCGGGGCTCCGGCTAGCCCTTCGTCCTGTGTTCCCGCATGTACGCGGCAATCGAACCTGCAATTTCTGCATTCTTCTTGTTCTGGCCAAAATAATCTAGGAACTGACCATCTGGTCCAACCAAGTACATGATTATTGTGTGATCCACCTGCAGAGAAAGGGGGGAGGAGGGAGAGAAAGGACAAAAATATTACTGAAAGACGCTGCTTATTCTACTGAGTAAATACTGCAGGAGAAAATTTCACGTTAATGCTTAAACAGCCTTTGTTGGTTTTTTAAAAATTTTTTATTGTTATGTTAATCACCATACATTACATCATTAGTTCTTGATGGAGTGTTCCATGATTCATTGTTTGTGCATAACACCCAGTGCTCCACGCAGAACGTGCCCTCTTTAATACCCATCACCAGGCTAACCCATCCCCCCACCCCCTCCCCTCTAGAACCCTCAGTTTGTTTTTCAGAGTCCATCGTCTCTCATGGTTCGTCTCCCCCTCCGACTTACTCCCCTTCATTCTTCCCCTCCTGCTATCTTCTTCTTCTTCTTTTTTTCTTAACATATATTGCATTATTTGTTTCAGAAGTACAGATCTGTGATTCAACAGTCTTGCACAATTCACAGCGCCCACCATAGCACATACCCTCCCCAATGTCTATCACTCAGCCACCCCGTCCCTCCCACCCCCCACCACTCCAGCAACCCTCAGTTTGTTTCCTGAGATTAAGAATTCCTCATATCAGTGAGGTTATATGATACATGTCTTTCTCTGATTATTTCACTCAGCATAACACCCTCCAGTTCCATCCACGTCGTTGCAAATGGCAAGATCTCATTCCTTTTGATGGCTGCATAATATTCCATTGTGTATATATACCACCTCTTCTTTATCCATTCATCTGTCGATGGGCATCTTGGCTCTCTCCACAGTTTGGCTGTTGTGGACATCGCTGCTATAAACATCGGGGTGCACGTACCCCTTCGGATCCCTACATTTGTATCTTTGGGGTAAATACCCAGGAGTGCAATTGCTGGATCGTATGGTAGCTGTATTTTCAACTTAAACAGCCTTTGTAATAGCTGTCATTTACAGGATGGGTCTAAGCCTATTGTAATAAATTCACGGTGACAAACATCTAAAATCTTGTGTGTTCCAGAACTCCGCACTGACTACTGCTTTAAACAGCAGGTAGAATTTGGAATTCTGGTGGTTCCATCCGTGACAGGTGCGTCCACACAGTCTCCGAGAGTCTACTTCCAACAACTGAGTACTGCTTTAGGAAGAAATATGTGCATAAATGTGTGTGTGTGTATATTATTCCTCATTGTTCCTAAATGCTGCCTACCACCTTTTAGGAGAATCCAGAAAACCCACCACTTCTGTAGGTATGTAATCTATAAATTTCAGCATAATATTTAGTCCTGATTATCAGGGTTGCAAACAGGAACATGAAAACAAGGGTTCCCCCCGCTAGGAAATTTGTATCTACTACGCTGAATGATCCTATCAGAAGCAGATGACCTGGTAACTCCTTAGGAGCCGGAAATGCTACACCTCCCAAGGAGTCACCTTCAATTTATTATGTTTTCCAGGCAAAGCTCTGAAAACATTCCTAGCTCTAACTTAGGCTTAGATTAGTCATCAATTTTTTTATTTATATGCCTCCACCAAATCCCAGTTTAAATGAGCAGAAGACTTGGCGCCTAGAGTCCTTGGAATTTATTGCAGGCTTGATTGCTATTTGGCAGGACAAAAAGACAGACAGAAATCCGATCACACACACCAAACTGGAGCCATCCCCAAAGGTACCCGCCACACATTGGAGGTCTGTGAGGTTATTACTTCTTTATATGCACACACTCACAAGGAGAGAGCAAATGGAAAGAGCCACTCGCCTGCGCACATGAGGAAGGAATGCGCCAAGAGCTCCAACAGCTGCTGATTTCATGTCTTGGAATAGCCTACTGCAGGACACGGAGCACGGGGGAGCTGCGCTTCTCCGCACACCCGACAGTCACAGAAGAGTCCCCGGCCTCCATCTTTCTCCCGACTTCTCCCTTTTTCCCACTCTATTCTCTCTCCCCCTTAAAAGACTAGAATTCCAGTAGATTTCTCTTACGAGTGTGCTTAATATAAGTTACTTTCTAATATGGAGTGAAAATACTGTTCCATACGCATCTGCCCAACTGGTCATGGTCACGTCTCGACGTTCAGTGGCTTGTGGGCAGAGCGAATCGCCGCGGGTCTCTAACAGAGCGTGCTTTAAAGCGCGAGTAGTCCCTACGGTAGGGAAAGGAAGCTGGCGTGGACTGAGACGCTCTCTCTCTCGCTGCCCTCGTCCCGGAGCCAGGTACCCTCCTCCCCCACAAACGATCCAAAGGGCTCGAGAGTTCAGTTAAATCATTAGAAAGTGCCAGACCTAAGCTTACACCCGGGTCTGTCCACTTTCTCAGCCCACTCCTTCGACCAGCTCGTTGCCACAATCTCTGCGGCTTTTCCGACGGGTGAGTTTTCTGGACACATTACGTTCTGAAAAGGTAACATGTGCACATAAAAATGCGCATGAGAATATACAGTAAATGTAGGCAGCAGAAATTTGCCACTTGTTCCAGATGCCCAGAGTCCCTCCGTTGTGCTCAGAGGGAACCACTGTAACCAGTTCCTTCTGGATGCTTCCAGGGAAACTGCCTGCATTTATTACTGTGTGTCTACTTCCTTCACCACCGGCACTACTTCCTTCTGTGTGGGAGTAACAACGCCCCGTAGCTGCTTTCTCATTTGACAAGGGACTGGACACCATTTGGAGTACGTACGCAGTAGCCTTTAAAAAATCGGTTGCTTGGTTTCCTGTCTTCTCTAAGAACAGTGCTGTAGGGTACAGGTGTAGAAAAATTCCCCAAAGCAGAATCTCTGAAGTAAAAAGTATGCCACTTTAAATGTGACAAACTGCCCCCCGAAGAGGGTGTATCACTTAAATTCCTATCATCCACGCAGGGTGGATGCCTGTTCTTCCAAATTCACTCCAACAGTGTATTCCCTCTTTTCCCAAACTAGATTTCAACAATATTTCAAACTTTTGACCTCTGCTGATCTAACAGAAAGTGGCATTACACTGTGTAATTCCCCTTCTTTCATTTTGACTGGAACTGAACATCTTTTCTTGGTTTGAAAACCTGTTGTAGTGTTTTTCTTTCTTATTTTTTTTTTTTTTAGAGAGAGAGGGCATGGCGGGGTCAGAGGTAGAGGGAGAGAGAATCTCAAGCAGACTCCCCGCTGAGCACAGAGCCTGACGCAGGGCTTCATCTCACGACCCTGAGACCGTGACCTGAGCCAGAATCAAGAGTCGAATGCTTAACGGACTGAGCCACCCACGTGCCCCAAGTTGTAGTGTTTTTCAAAAACACTTCTTATGTAACACAGACTAAGGTTAATATCACATATATAAAGCAGTGATGTACACGCTTAGCTTCCGACGGAATCCTAAGTGTCTGCCATGCCCACTTTACACGTACTATCTGTCTGAAGACTCCACGGGCGCTCGAAAGTCAGAAGCTTCCCTTCTGTGGCTCCTGAGATTAAGAAAACCTCACTCGGTTACATCTCAGCCTTTAAGACACTCCCTCACTCCCTGCAGGCCCTTAAGTCTTGACAGAAGCTTCCCATACCATTTTGTGGATGAAGATCTGTGGCCTCAAGGCACAAAAGGCGTACCAATGAAACACCTCACAAGCTGGAGAGCGCCTCCCCCTACTGGTTGATTTAGGAAATGTATAGCGACAACCTCACTGGTTCTTTTGTTGTTGTTACTTTAATTCCAGCGCAGTTAATAATATCCAGTGTTATATTAGCTTCAGACGTACAACTCACTGGTTCTGATCAAAAGGTCAAATTCTTAGGGCAGTAGACTAGTATCTCTCAAAATGGGGTCTAGCATGAATTCCAGAGGGTCCAAGAAGTCTCTATGAGACAAATATTTTATCTGCAGGGACACCTGGTGGTTCAGTTGGGTAAGCGTCTGCCTTCGGCTCAGGTCATGATCTCCTGGTCCTGGAATAGAGCCCCGGGTCAGGCTCCCTGCTCAGCGGGGAGTCTGCTTTACTTCTCTCTCTCTCTCTCTGCCCCTCCCCAGGGCTCACGCGCGGACTCTCTCTCTCTCAAATAAATAAATAAAAATCTTAAAAAAAAAAAAAGGCAAACCTATCTGTATTCTAATTTTTAAAATGAAAAGAAGTTACCATTCACATTCTGGATTCCTTGCAGGACTACCTTATGACTGAATACGAATCTCAGCGCCCAAAGGCACGTTTATGTTTATGATCTGCAGGGCACGTAGCTGTCGCTACTGGTTACAGGCACTGTGAAAATGATGTGTTCTTGCTGAGTCAGGACAAACCAGTCAACGCGGACCACACAACCCGATGTTCCCAAGTATTTTACGTAACACGAAGGCCACCTGATGGTATGGTTGGCCACTGATCTGAGAGAGCTCCGACCCCAACTACGGTTTGTCGATGGACTCTTATGACTAATCGCTTTGCTCAACCAATGTTACAGAGAAGCCAGGGCACGGGGGGGTGGGGGTAGCACAACGCTACCCCCTATCCTTCAACAGCAGGAAGCAAATATAAACACGTGATTGTGCAAAGCATATAGTTCCTAGGAAAATAAGCCTTCCAGAAAGTCTAGCTACTCGTGGCTTTCGCTCTTTTCCCTTGCTTTTCAGAACTCCGATGCATTCCAAAAATGCACTTCCCCAGGGCTTCGCACCGCTTCTTACGCTCTTCCCTGGGCACACAGGGAGAACCTGTACAATGTTTGGAATTCAAAGAAGCACTGCCCCCAAATGATGGCTTCTCTCTATTTCCAATGTGGTATCCAAGCATCACGTTCTACTCAATCTAAAATACCACTCACTGTGTACGTTCCCATAATTTTATGGGCCACCGAGACGGAAAACACGCAATGCAGTTATGAGAACAGTGAATAGACATTAGACCAGCATTCTTAAAAAAGCGATACTTCTATTGTCCTTTCAAATATCCCCAATTTCTGAGGAATTTGTACTGATCTCAGCCTTTCTTTCATTTTTTTTTTTTAAGATTTTATTTATTTGACAGAGAGAGACACAGTGAGAGAGAGCGCACAAGCAGGGGGAGGGGCAGAGGGAGAAGCAGACTCCCCGCTGAGCAGGGAGCCCGATGCGGGGCTCCATCCCGGGACTCCGGGATCATGACCTGAGCCGAAGGCAGACATGTAACCGACTGAGCCCCCCAGGCACCCCTTTCTTTCATTTCTGAAGCCAGTCGTTCGAGCTGCAGGACCGTGCGGGGCCTGAGCGCCAGCCTCCGGGTGACACCCGAGCATTTACTTACTATGTAGTCCTCATCATCGTCCTTGGGGCCAGGGCTGTAATACACCCTGTATGCTCGGGCCACTCGATCAATCTCTTCTTTGCTGCCAGTCAGGCCAACCAGTTTGGGAGAAAATTCTGAATAAAAAACGAGAAACGCAGTGAAAAATGAGCAGCAAGCAAACCTCCCCCCCCCACCTCGACTTTAAAAGCCAGCGTCAGTTATAAGGCAGCTCTACTACCCCTGTCTTCCGGGGGTCCCTGAACACTCCCTCCTGATTCACAGGAAAAGAAATGCACCCAGAACACATGCAAATTCTCCTCCCTAATAAAGAAGTCACATTCACCAAGACAGGCCACGTTCTGGGCCATCAAATGCACCCCAAGAGATTAAAAGTACAGAAACCGTATGACATGCTCTCAAACCACAGTGGAGTTAAAAGAGAAGTCAGTAACGGAAAGATAAGCGGAAAATCCCAAGATACATGGAGATGAAACACACTTCTGAATAATACATGGATCAAAGAAGAAATCTCAAGAGAAAGTGAAAAGTATTTTGAACTAAGTGAAAATGAAAACACAACTTATCGAAATTTGTGGGATGCAGCCAAAGCAGTGCTTTGAGGGACATTTGTGGCACTGAATTCGTACACCAGAGAAGAGACCTAAAATTGGGACTCTAATTATCCCCCTCAGGAAGCTAGAGAAAGAAGAGCAAATTAAATCCAAAGTGAACAGAAGAAAGGAATCAGAGCAGAAATCAATGAAACTGAAAACAGGAAATCAGTAGAGGAAAAGCACGAAACCCAAAGCTGGTTCTTTGTAAACATGTAAGTCAGATCCTTTCAAAATAATCTTGTAAAAGATCTGAAGGGAATGGATTCTAATTATTTAAATCACATTTTTTGTTAATTTAGTTGCTTTTAAATACTTAGATATACTTCTGAGACATGTAACGTTTATAGACAGATATTGTCATGAATTAAGCAGTACAGTTTTTCACTGTGTCCTGAAAAAAAGGTTTGCTTCAGGATTCAGTCATCCCACGCCAACAGCTGTATCTCATTTTCCAGCAAACAATCTCACTGCATGCATCTGCTGCTCGGTTTTTGGGATTCATGGGAGTGAGCTGGTAGAAGTCACTTAAAACACCTGGATTCATCAGACTACAGAGATGACAGTCCAACACCTAACAGCACGACATTCTTCCAAAGGTAGAGAAAAAAAAAAACCTACTGTCATTTCTAATTCATCCTGAATTGAAAAACTGTTCAGATACTGAAAAAAGCAGGATGGCTTGTTTTTCTTTTCCATTCTGAGTAGAGAGAAAAGTGAATGAAGTCTACATTATTAGTTGCATGTCCAAATCTTTTTAAAAAAATTGTTGAAATCGCAGTAATTTTCTACACATGAACTTCAGTATTTTTAAATCCCCCCCCCTCAGTTCCAATTCAACTAGTAAAGAATTTTGAAAGAACGGATCTTTCAAAAACTCTAAGAGCTTAAACAGATGTATGTATGTGCCGGTGAAGAATATTACTGTATAGTTCTTGCATTTCAGTTATGAGAACTCACATCTCCCCTCATCTGGGGATATTTAGGGTTTGGTTAACCTGCAGTAACCAACCGGTGACAACATAACACACTTACACTAGAGATCATTTGTCACCCAATGAGTCACACCTGCTTTAGCAAATAACTATGTCATTGTTCAAATTCCTGCTAAACCTGCACACTGTGAACATAAATTCACCTTAAATATCTAATAAAAACTCTAAAACTTCAAGAAAAAATAAACCTTTCTAACCTTTAGCTGGGCAAAGATTTCTTACAAATGAAACCAAAAGATTTATCTATATAAGAATATGCTAGTAAACTGGATTTCATCAAAACTGAAAACTGCTTGGGGCGCCTGGGTGGCTCAGTTGTTGAGCGTCTGCGCCTTCGGCTCAGGTCATGGTCCCAGGGTCCTGGGATCGAGCCCCGCATCGGGCTCCCTGCTCCGCGGGAAGCCTGCTTCTCCCTCTCCCACTCCCCCTGCTTGTGTTCTCTCTCTTGCTGTGTCTCTGTCAAATAAATAAATAAAATCTTTAAAAAACAAAAAAAACAAAAACAAAACTGCTCTTCAAACCACATTGAGAGACTGAAATGACAAGCCACAGACTGGGAGAAAATATCTGTGAATCATACACCCGATAAAAGACTCATATTGGGAATATACGTGATAAACAAATACAAGTAAAATGAACAGCCCCATAGAAATGAGCGAAAGATATGAAGACACTTCGCCAAAGAAGACATACAGGTGGTAAGAACACAAAAAGATGCTTAATATTTTTTTATTTTTTAAAGACTGTATTTATTTATTTATTTGACAGAGACCTAGAGAGAGAGCATAAGTAGGCAGAGCGGCAGGGAGAGGCAGAGGGAGAAGCAGGCTCTCTGCTGAGCAGGGAGCCCAATGCGGGGCTTGATCCCACGACCCTGGGCATGATCTGCACTGAAGGCAGATGCTTAACCGATTGAGCCACCCAGGCGCCCCTAATATTTTTTTTTTTGTGAAAAGTTTTTTGGGAGAGAAGGAGGGGGGGGGGGGGGCAGTGGGAGACGGAAAGAGAATCCCAAGCAGACCCTACTGAGCGTGGAGCCTGACACAGGGCTTGATCTCATCACCCCAAGATCAGGCCTGGGCTGAAACCAAGATTGGATACTTTAACCAACTGTGCTACCCAGGCGTCCCAGATGCTTACTATCAAGGGTCATTAGGGAGAAGCATAGCAAATCCACGATGCATGACCAGCGAACAGCTAGTGAAGTGGCTACAGTCAAAGGCCGGCCATATCAAATGTGGTGAGGATGGGCAGGGGCTAGAGCTCTCTCACACGCGGCTGGTGGGAATGTAAAAATGTCCAACCACTCTGGAAAACTGTTTATCAGTTTCTTAAAAAGATGAACGTGCACCTACCACATGATCCAATAACCTACTTGTATGCTTTTACTCAAGAGTGTATAATTCTGTTCGCATAAACTTCTAGAAAATGCAAACTAACCTACATCGACAGAAAGCAGATCAGTGGATGCCCGGAGACAGGAGGGGGGCATAGGGGAGGGAGGAGCAAGGGTGCAAGGAAACCGCTGGGGGTGACGGGAACGTCCAGTTTTGCTTGATGATTTCACAAGTGCAGACATATGACTAAAGGTAACAAACTGCAGACTTTAATATAGGTACGTATTAAGTGTATGTCAATTGTATCTCAGTAAATATGTTAAATAACAGAAGGTACAGCAGGGCCTTCACAAAACACTTTTAAATAACCTCAAAGCTTTACGCGATATGCGTTACAATGTGTCATATGTAAAATTAAATGTAAAACTATTCATCGGTCCCTTTGACCAGTAGCCTAAACCGATTTCACCATAATTAAAATTAAAATTCCAATTCCTGATTTTTCAGCACCCACGTTCCCGTCACTCCTATAACAACAAAACAGATTTTTACTGTCATCATTTTTCAGCGGAGGAAACCTGAGTCCCGAGAAAATTCTGCAACTTGCCCAAGCTCCTAAGGACCTAATAAGCATTCATCTTTAATTCTACCATAACTTAAGTCTGTAAAAATGCCGTCTCATAGGTTTTAACTTGCACGTGGAGATGTTTCAACTTTCCCATGAAAAGTTATACATGTGTCTCTGTCATAATATATATTCTGGATTTATAAAATGTGTTAGGACCCCAAACTGTATAGAGTCTCTAATCTCCCAATCTACACACTCCCAGGATTTATGTTTGTCCTAATTTTACAGAGAGAATGAGGTACAGAAGTGGAATTGGAAGCAATGTGTCCTCACTCTCTACTCAACGTTCTGTCAGCTTTGTTGATATATGAAGGCCAAGTTCAGTCTTTTCTGTGACAAAATAAACAGAGCTGTGCATTGGGAATTGAGAAACTTGTTTATTTGCTTATCGGCCAAAGTCACAACTGAGCCTCACCTTTTCATCTTCTCTAAACCTGATGATAATATCATTTGTCCTATTTTACGAGGCATGTAAGGTCAAATGAGTTGATCTTTCAAAAAGTCGAAAAGCTTAAATAAATGTAAAGTATTATTATTCTTTTAATATTTTATTTATTTATTTGAGAGAGAGAGAAAAAGAATGTGTGTGAGCGGGTGGGGGGGGTGCAGAGGTAGAGAGAATCTCCAGCAGACTCCCCGCTGAGCAGAGAGCCTGACGCAGGGCTCAATCCCAGGACCCAGAGATCATGACCTGAGCTGAAGTCGAGGGTTGGATGCTTCACTGACTGATCCACCCAGGTGCCCTGAGATGTAAATATTATTAATAAGACATACCTTTCACATAATTTGCGATGGCTTCTTGTGTGTCCCTTTCTGGGTCAATAGTGATGAAAAGTGGAGTTAAATTTGGCAGAGTTGGGATATTATCTGAAAGAAAGTTCTCACTGGTCAGTATTCACACTCTAGGGGAGAAGAGGAACACCAGCAGTAGTAAGTACTTCAGCAAGGCGTTCAGGAAGCAGAGGGACACCGAAGATTCGAGTGCAGGGGGTGGGGTGGGGCGGGGCAGGGATGGGACGGCCTGCAGGAGGAGCAGATGTCCATAGTATCTGTGCAGGAACCAGATAATTATCCTACCGAACACCTGCACCAGTCTGTGCACGTTACCCGGATCACATCGTGTGGCTATCTCGTGTCCTGATCCAACCTGATGTTTGCAGTCTGCCCCCCCGCAATAATCATCAAGGGCAATAATCATCAATAAACGCTGGATCCCCTGAAACAATCTATTTTAAGAAGGACATACCCCGCTTCCTCATTGGTCATAAATGCAGCTGACTGCACAGCACAGACCGTACCAGTGACTTTCCAGTCTGTGTGTCACATGCACGATGGCAGGGTCCGTGACGGGTGTCTACAATCAAGGAAGGGGCACAATGCAGAGTTATGGGAAACCAGACCTCCCGGCATTTACAAGCTCCGGCTGGTAGAGGATACGGTCACAGGATTCAAAGCCGTGAACAAGTACGATGCTGAGATTTTCTGTTCTAACAATGAACCCAAATGATCACGACACCCAACCCGACGGTAGCACGAGAATGTGAAAAGCGTGGTAATGTTAAGGACATTAAGTAAACGTACTTCTTATAGTCAGTGATGGCTTACCTATCTCATCCACGACTTGAATCATTTTTTCTAGTTCTTCTGGACAGACATCAGGGCAATGAGTGAAACCAAAATAAATCAATACCCACTGACCCACGTAGTCTTTGTCAGTTTTGGGCTCTCCAGTATGTGTTGTGAGGGAAAACGGGCCCCCCAGCAAAGGCTTCCCCAGGCTTCGCTGCCGCTCCTTCTCCAGCTCTTGAAGAGATACAAACACGCACGTTACAAAAGTCAATCTAACCACAAGCACCGAAATGCCTGATGTATGGTCAGTTCTATACTCCTAACTGTGGGGGCACAGACTGTGGAGAACAGTCTGTTTCCAATCAGCTTAAAAAATCTTTTAAGAAAATTAAGTATCCAACAATGAACAAAGTCAAATCAAATGCTATGGTGTGTAGTAAGGACTCCAAGAAAAAAAAGCGGTAAAGATGCTGCTGTCTCTTCTAGAACAATTCAGCCAAGTCATTAGGCGTGGCCGTAACTGGGCAGGGGCTGCCGTCTGGAGTCTGAGCCTGAGTGTCCCGAGGAGGGCATCTGAATGGGGCGGGGACAGCGGCCACGGGACCTTACTTACGCACAAGGGATGAACCATAAATAAGCAGATTAAAGGTAAGAGTCAAACGTGGCAGCAGAGGTAGAAAGATGGACGGAGAGAATCAGAATGCACCCTGCAGCATCGAGCTGAGACTGCAGGTGCCGGTGTGAACTTGTGGCTGAGACACATACAGATACAGAAATAAACGGAGATGCAAGTACCTACATCTAGTTTCTAGCTCGGTCCACGGAGAGGACCCTGGAGCAGATACAACCCGGAAGCGATGAGCGCATCTCCTGATTTCTAAATATCCTCCTCCACTAAAAGGAAACAGGGCTTTTTGGAGAAATGGCTGGTATTGGGGCCACCTAAGAGGAGGTACAAGAAGATCCAGATTTAAGGAAGAACTCAACATTGGAGGCAGGTCAAAAGGAACAGGAAGTCGCTCAGACTCCCAGGGACCAATGTGGGACAATCTGAGCATCAAAATAAAGAGAATGTAGATTACAATTCTTGGAATACATAGGAAAGCACAAGTTGGTATGGACATAGAAACACCGAGAATTTGGTGGGGACTGGAATATTTACATATATGTAAATACACACCACAAAATATACATTAACTACGTTTTCAGTAGAGAAGGCTGACTCATGCATCATCAACCTGAACATTATTAGTAACGCGACGAAATGAAATCACATGGTACTAGACTAGAAGCAGTGAGAACACAGCATCACTTTTTGTGATATTCTTGCCAAAAGGACATGACCTGAATCTAATCGTGAGGAAATCAGACAAACTCAAACTAAGAGGCATTTTACAAAATAACAAAGTGTTCAAGGCCATGAAAGTCACAGGAAGACTGAGAAACTGCTACAGATGGAAGGGGACTAAAGAGACAAGGAGGCATAAGAATGGTTCTGACCCGGATCCTTTTGCGATAAGGAACATCAAGGTGCAACACTTGAATGAGGTCTGAAGGCTGAATGGCAGTTAACACGTCGATGTTAATTTTCTGATTTTGACGGCTGCATTATGATTATGTTGGGAGAACGTACTTGTTTGTAAAATGTACACAGTGAAGCATCTGATGAGGCATCATGTCAGCAAATACTCAGATAATTTAGAAATACTTTTAATAGTTCCATAATAATTTTATTAAACAAATACTATTGCAGGCGAAATTCCAAACTAAAGTCAAAAGTTTGCATATCCTAGAACTGTCTCTGCCATTACTTTCCCAGCTTCTCAGATTTGTTTCTTTGTGAAACTAAAGGAACTTAATTTCTCATTAGAGTATGAAAACCACATCAATAAAACACTGATTGTTATACAAAAGAAACACATCTACTTATCAGTAACGGATCTTATATTGCTAAGATTCTAAAGCCTTGCAGATTTAAACACATCCTTTGTAACATGGCATCAAGAGATCTCTAAAGAACCCAAACAGATTTAAGTGATATTTTAAAGGTTTACTGGAAACTTTTAAACCAAATCTTAAAAGACCGGACTATTCACTAAAGTATAAAGTTCTTGCAAACAATTTCTAAACACTTCCCGTGCTGATCCAGAGCCATTCCTGGCACCCCCTGACCAGGTTCTCCTAATCTCCGCTCATCATCCGTGGTCAGCCTTTGGCCTCTCCCTCTGCTGACACTCAGTGGTCTGCAGTAGGGGCTGGCCCTTTTTTGGCCCTCAGAGCATCCTGGGCTTCCCCCTGGCTTGGCAGAACCTCATCTAGTGAAGTCCTTTGATTCTGCCTCTGCTTCCCTGTCATGTGCACCTCAGTGGCTGGACTGCATCTTGGTCATCTCTGTAGCCTCTGGGCTTCACCACCCACCTCCAAACCTGTCCACAGTAAGTCTTTTCATACTGTTAGACAGCGGTATCTTGGACTGGATCCTGGACCAGATAAAAGACAATGAAAAAACTGCCGAATTCCAAATCAAGTGAATAGAATTGCATCAATTTTAATTTCTTAATTTTGATGAATGTGCCATGGTTACGTAATTTGTTAACAGTAGGAGAAGCCAGGTGAAAGGTACATAGGAACTCTCTGTGCCATCTTTACAACTATTCTGTTCATCTAAAATTATTTCAGGATAAGAAGTTTAAAAACAAAATAAAAGATGTTAGAAAAGGATTTTATTTCGAGCTGACAGGAGGATAGATATCTACTTACTCTCTGTCTTTTCTTTCTTGAAGTACTTCATTCCAGCCAATAAAGCTCCACCAATTGCAAATGTGAATGCCAAAGACTTCCAGGAAACCGGCTACTGGGGCAGAGATTTCAAATAAAAACACCAGTAAGATGCAAACATTTAACCATTCTAAATTTACTATCGTGGCTTTTAATATACATAAATACAGGTCTTGATTCTGTTAAATATGTAGGAATGTTTCCACTTTATTCTGGGGTGAAAAAGTACCAACAGTGTCTGGGCGCAGTTCCATCTGGGTTGTGATCACAATTCCAGAAGCATTCATTCCCAAAGGGAAAGAAAGTCCTTAAGTGCATTTCATGTGAAAGACACCCAAAGCTCAAGTCCCATGACTGTTACTAAGTGTGACCCTGACTCCAACTGCTGATTTCAAAACCGGTTAATTATGTGATTGTGCTGATACTGGGACCATAAATAAAATTCGGGAGGTTGATCTAACTCTGGCTTCCAGAAGTAACAAAGCCAAAGTAAGTAGAAATGGAGCTTCTTGCAAATTAATTCCTTTGCCCTCTTTTTTCAAGTCCCAAGGTTAGTAAGATGTCGACTACCTCGGCCTCATTCATTAACCTTCCTCCCCCAGCTTCTAAAGCCCACTTCTCTTACCCAACACTAGTGGGCAGTGGGGTCAGAACTAGAACCTGAGAGAAACCGAAGAAAAAGGCATATACCCGGCACGCAACTACGACCCACATTTTGCTCAATTTCAACATACACACCGAACCTCTAAAGGGGGTTCACAGAAATAAACATGCTCTGACTCCTCAATCATGGTCAACTTAAGGCCGAGACCCCCAGGCAAACACGAACCCTATTCTCGGGGTATTTTGGAAGGAGGGGACGCAAAACTAAAACCCAAGCCCGAGAATCCAGCCGCGTGGGGAAGGCGCCAGTCCTCATGTCCTCCCTTTCGGGCTGGACTACGGGCGAAGCGAGGGAAAAGAGGGAGCAGAGTCTGTGACCCCCGCCGGTAAGGCTGAGCTGGGGACCATTTCCGAGGTCACCACCGAGCGGGCCGGGGAGGCCGCAGGGCGGTGTGCAGGCGCGACGAGCAGAGAGGGCTGCAGGTGTGCACTCACCCCGGGCTTGGAGGGGCGCATGGGGTCTCTGCGGCCCTTCGGCTCGGGGCCGGACGACCCTGGAGGGGGCGGCATCCCCGTGCTCAAGGGCCGGCTTCCCCCGCCGCTGCGAGCCAGCTCCGAGGTCCGCCACGCCTCCTCTCGCCGCGCGCCGAGTTGCCTGAGCCAGACTCTGGCGGTCCCCTCCGCCGGGGCGCACCCCCCGAGCCCGAGAGGCAGGAGCCGCCAAAGTCGGCCCCCCGGAAGCCGCAGGCTAGGGCCGGGAAGCAGCCAGAGCCCCGCCATGGACTCGGGAGACCGCGCCTCCTTTGACCCGCCCCCCGACTTCCGGCGCCGTTTCCACTTCCTCCGGAAGTCGGAGCGGGCCGCTCTTTCCGCTCCACTCGTTGGTGGCGAGGTCGCCCAGCCGGTCGCCAGGGACCCATCGGCTGTGGAGCCGACGCGCGGTAGGTGGTTCCTCGCGGCTGGAGGCGGGCCCGGTCGGGACTGGGCTGGGGCTTCGCGGCGCGGGCGGGCGGGCGGGCGGCAGGGCGGGCGCGGGAGTCACCGCCGGGAGAGCCCCGCTCCCCCCGTCCCCGCCCGCGTCGCCCCGTCGTCCTGCTGGAGGCCGGCCCGGAGCCGCAGGGCGCGGACCCCGCTGCCTCCCTCCTGGGGTGCCGGCGGGCCTGTTGCACTTGGCGTAGTCTTGCACCGTTCGGGCCTTGAGCACAGGGGTCCTTGGAGTGGCTGGGGCGGTGAGCGCCGGGCGCTGTCACCTCGCGGGGAGCAGCAGCTCCGCACGAAGTAGCCGGTTCTGTGCCGTGTCCCCTCCCCGAGTCAGTCGGCTGGGCCCCCGCGTCCAACGACGCCCTCGCTGGCTCCCCTCCGCGCTGGGGCTTCCAGGGTTCAGGTCCTCACCTGGGACCGCGTCTCTCCTTTGGGGACAGCCGCATATTCTTGGGCGCAGAGCATCCTTGGGCTGCTTCTTCCTGGCTGGCGAAGGTGCCGCTTGCACGCGCATCCTCTGTGCTTGTGTTTTCCTCCCAGCGTGTCTGCCCCCTTAACGCCTGCCCCTGCCTGCCCACCTCCGCGCCGGCAGCACACAGACAAAGCGGGGAGGAAAAAAGCCTAATTCTCTTCCCTAACTTCAGATCCCGGAGCTTCCCCTGAGCAGAAGCAGCAGCTCGTGCCCGAGTGCTTTGTGGGACTGGAGCCGGCATAACTGGCCAAGTAAGTGGGCTCCTCCCTAACAGTCGAGCTGGACTCTGCTGATACCCACGTTTCTTCATTCCCGAGGTGACCTGGAATTTTCTGCAAGTTCTGCTCCAAGGACATGGTGCACTTCACATCGTTCTCAGTCAAACTAATTTTTCCGTCCTGAGGTTACCCGTGGGTGAGATTTTTTTTTTTTTTTTTTTTTTTTTACCCCCTTCTTTTTTGCCCTGGGAGAAGTTTTCCTTCCAATTGCCAGAAAGACACAAAAATACCTTACTCGTTCAGGCGATGAGCATATACAGTTTTTGTTCATCTTTCCCATTGCTCCGCTGGATGTTAATGATGTCAGTCGTATAAGTTAAAATTCAGTGTTGTTTTTAGCTGGTCTGTTAAATTTCATTTGCCAAAGTGATTCTTTTACTAGGTTTATCCTTAATTTGTTTGCCAAGGCATTTTTATACAACTTCTTCATATTAAGTGTATAATATTAGATAAAATACTAGCTTCTAAAACCGTTCCTGATGCAAAGGAGGTGTTTTGTAACTATACATGGGACGAGTTGCTGATAACACCTCTGAGCCCGATTTCTCCGACCGTTGAAATCTAGTGTTAAAAGATACCTAAAAAGATGTCTAGCGTAAACCTATCACTTTCATTACTACTTTTAAACCACCAGGATCGGCAAATGAGTTTTTTTCTTTCGATATGGATACCTTTTTTGAAAGAGACAGAATATACATAATATCATCTGATGCTTGTTCTGTCCATAGTGACGAGGCCAGTCAGATTTTGTGCTTGAGGTAACTTCAGGCTGTCTTGACTGGGACAGCTAGGCCCTAACTTTGTGTGACCTTCCCAGCACTGTAACTTGTCTGCTTCTGCCCCCTGTCCCTTGCCACAAACATTTCCAGCCTCAGCTTTCCTGCCATTGCAGTCCTTAGCACAATTAAAAGTCCAGACTGCTCCCACTACCCCCCCCACCCCTTTTCCTTTCCAGGGCTGCCTGTCCCATGGGCTCTGCGTAGAAAGACTTTGCTTACCTGACCTGCCCCCTTCCCTGAGATACTTCTGGCTTCGGCCTGGGCGTGTCTCTGTTGCAGTAGCTCCCTTTGACCCTCTCTCCTTACTACCGTCCTGCTGTGTCCTCCCACACCCCTTCGTTTTTCTTGGGCAGGAGTGTAGGACTGTCTTCATTTGCTACTTCATGGTAGATGCGTGAGAGGCTTCTACAAGGAGCTTTGGCCTTCTGCCGTCTTATTGCAGAAGTTTTATTAGTATCATCTTGTAGCAAGTTTCCAGCAAATAAGCATCCCTGGGTGTTTCTTCCTATTGTTAAACATCATTGATGCCTAAGGAGGTTTTCACAGACTGCTGGCTGCTCGTCCTGCACCATGACTTTCTGCCGGAATTTTTGGAAATCTTTGTGAATTTTTGTAGGAGTTCGTTGGTAGAATTTTTGAAACTCTGGTGAAGTTTTCTATACTATTCTGGTCTATAAAATGTTGCAGGAGTTTCAGTTATCTGGGGGTTGACTAGGCAGATGTGTTTTCAGATAATTAAAAAATAACACGTTGGTAGTGCTTTACGATTTACAAAAGTAGATTATTGTACGGTATATGCTAGTTCAATCTCACAAGTGCCGATGAGTTGTTTCCCTGTAGGAAAAACTGGGACTACAATTCCCTCCCAGGTTTTCAATCTCAAAGCTTTCCGCAGCCGTCCCACTGCCTCTTAACTACAACTTAGGAAACTTCACACATAATGGTGCGCTCCAGACTTTCAGAACAAAGTTCACGTAAAACTTGGGATTTTCCTTTCTTTTCAGAGGTCTTAGGTTTTAGGTCTTCTAATTCGTTCAGACTTTATCTTCTCTAAAAACACTTTTTAAAAACCTCGTATTATAGACATCTCTAGACATCTTGAAACCCGCGTAAAAGCAGCAAGAGTGAACCTCGTACCCATTCCCAGCTTCAACAGTTACCCTCCACTCACCCACTTCTGTGTGTGTGTGTCTGGTGGAGGATGGAGGGTATTTTGAAAAGTTCATGGCATTGGCATGTTTATTAATTGTGTGTTTCCCCACTGGAGGTGTCCTGAGTTTTTTTTTTATCTCTCTGGCCACCAGGACCAGTCTTTCTGAGCTCCCTGGCACCTCCCAGAACCATACAATAAAAGATGTTGAACTAGTTGGGAGAATCCGTTCCCTGCCCACTCGAGGTCTTGAGACCTGCCTAACTCACTTCTGATCCTCATGGTCTTTCCTTGCATGTGGCGTTGTCCCTCCTCCTTGCTTCATATCTTCTCTTAACAGATAGCAGTATCAGTCTACACTTCTGTTTTAAAAAATAATTTCTTTATTTCATAAAACCGTATATTCCCTGCCCTTAGCCTTATTTTTAAAAGCCATATGTCTTTGACATTGCAGATCTCTTTTCTACCCAAAACACATTACTGTTTTGAAGTGTGTGGCCCTTGCTGCTTCTCTGCACATTGCTTAATTTTCTTTAAAAGGTTGGCAAATCTTAGTTTACCCTTAAGTTTCTCTAAATTGAACTGTATTCCAGTGGGAGGTGTATCTGATGGGACTTTTTGTAGAATACGACAGGAATCTTAGGGCCAGTTCAGTTTGGCTTGACTCAGAGGAGAGTGAGTTTGTTTGTTTATTTACGGTTTATGTGTGTTTACGTATTTTGTTTATTTTTTGTTTGTTTATGTTTGTTTATGTATTTACGGTTTTATTTATTTGAGAGAGAGCGAGCGTGTAGGAGCACGAGGGGGAGGAGGGGCAGAGAGAGAGGGAGAGAGAATCCCAAGCGGACTCTGTGCTGAGCACCGAGCCCGACGCGGGGCTCCGTCTCATGTGCTGAGCCGAAATCAGGAGTTGGACGCTTAACCGGCTGAGCCACGCAGGGGCCGCAGAGGAGAATTTAATGGCCGATAGAACTAAATGACCAAGAGCAGTTCTAACAGAGACAGGTGGATCCAGGTGTTCAACTCATGTTTCCCGGACTTCTTCGCATCATTCAAATATGCTTCCTTCCTTCTCAGGTAACCTTCCCCAGCGGCTCAGGCTTTTGTCGTCAGCTTCGCACGAGTAGCTGCAGCAAAAGCCCCTACGCTGATGCTCACTGTCTCCCGTGTGGGTTATATGCTTACCCCGAACTGACCAGAGGGAAACTGGGCGCTTATAGGCCAGGGTCACGTGTGTGCCCTTTCCAACACTTGCACTGCCAGGGGGTCAAGGTCACAGCGCAGGCACTGAGAGCGAGGATTGTATAGATGCCTGGGAAGACCAGGGGTGCTGTTACCAGAAGAACAGGAGATAAATACTGGCTAGGCAGGCACAAATAATAGCTTCTCCTAGAAGATCAAATTAATTGGGACTAAAAGCTCCCCCTTAAGAGATCCGCAGTACAGATTATCACCTTAAAGCCTCTGAGTTTAGAGACGAAAACAAACAAGTTCATTTGGCAAAGGATAAAAGCCTCCCCAGAAACTGTTTTCTCTTAAGCTTTGGTAATAATGTTCCAGTGATACATGTACCCAGTTAACTTCTGGTTGAAATCTCCTATTATCTGTACTTTGAATCGCAAACATTTGAAACCTAGTAAGACTACAGATTTTCATGTAACTTAGGTGAATTCTATATTTATTGTATCTGAGTTCTTCACCTTTCGAATCAGACGATCTCATCCACCCTGCAGACACGTCAGCTGGCTTGATATCTACTGGGTTTTCAGATGGGGACTGCAGGATGAAACGAGCAAATGAAAAAAATGTGTCAGAACACCAAGCCATTTTTCAGGATTTCCAACTTTTTTCTAATGCTGCTTTATACCTTTGTTAGGGCTAGTTATACAAAACCCGATTAAGGAAGAGAGGAAGGTGGCTGAAGCTCACAATTGGGTGGATCACATAGAATGTATATCATTAGTGACAACAGCTTCAGAATGAAAAGAGGCCCCTAATTCTCAAGGAAGTCAGATTGCCGCCCGGCCCTCTTGCCGGGTGTAGAGTTTGTCACCCCCGCCTCGGACAGCAGTGCTCTGTCAGCTAGGATTTCACGTATCTTTGGGTGATTGAAGAGAACTCAGTAGCTGTAGTGGGCTGCTGGAGGCCGGGAGTCGAGAAGTAATTTTAGAAATTCCACATGAGGTTTTTTTTAGAAACAGTGAGGCTTTAATATGCTTTGATCCCACAGCACAGTGTACTACTGTAGACTTTATAATAAGAATAGTTGATCATTTAGGATCATGGCCTTTATTTTATTTTATTTTTAAAGATTTACTTGAGAGAAAGAGCAAGAGAGAGTGAGAACGAGAGAGAGAGAGAGCACAAGCAGGGGGGAGGGGGAGAGGGAGAGGGAGAAGCAGACTCCCCGATGAGCAGGGAGCCTCGATCCCAGGACCCTGAGATCATGACCTGAGCCAAAGGCAGATGCTTAACTGACTGAGCCACCCAGGCGCCCCTGGTTTTTATTTTTAATCTTTAGTGTTCTTGGCTCTTTTGGGGCATTAGAAGTGATTATAAATTTAGATTGTAAACAATCTAGTAAAATAATAGCTTTCAGGTCTAAATCCCTTATTCTTGGCTAGTGTGGCAGGGCACAGATCACGTGTGAGAAGAAAAGATGACTTATTTTCCATTTTGGTTTTGGGGACAGGGTAGTTAAGATTCAGGTTAAAAAAAGCTGGTTCAGATTGGAATCCAACAACTGAGGAACCAGGAACCATTTGTCAGAAATGAAGATAGTCACATCAATATTATAGTTAGTTTTTGTTTAAAATGATTCCCTTCTTTCTTCATTTCCTCCCCCCTGTTATCCCAGATATAAAATATGAGCAAGTTCTTTCAAGTGACCCACCCACCAAAGAAGACAAAAGATCCAGCCTGACATGAAATAATCTGTAGTGGGAATCTAATGTATAAAGTACAATGAATGAGTGTAATATGTAATTTTTTGTAAAAAGAATCCTGAAGTTTTGATAGAATTATTTTGGTGTTTGTGGAAGAAAGTACTGTGTGTGTGTGTGTGTGTGTGTGTGTGTAAGCGTGTAACAAACTAGTGTGTATTTCTTAAAAATTACAAATGCTACCAGATGTGAATTTGACTTTTCTGGATTTAGAATACCTGTTCATTAATAGGATAATACCCTTTTGTAAATTACTCTTCTGAAGAATAGAGGTTATTTTACAGATGAGAAAACTGACCTGTTTCAAAGACTTGGTACTTTGGCCGTAGGACAATTGGACTTTAAGGCCCATGTGCTTTTCTCTCTACCACGCTACCTGGTGGATTAACTGTTAATACTTTATTTACCATTCTCTGCAGCCCATTTAGAAAAGTAAGATGTTTATAGTGTAGTTATGTTCTTTATTTTGTTTAGAAACCCGTTTGAAGGTTATGGACGATAAGCCCGACCCTGGAACCCTGAGTGAGAATTCGGAAGTTCTCTTCTCCTTTGGGGTGATAGCAGATATCCAATACGCTGATTTAGAAGATGGCTATAACTTCCAAGGAAACAGACGAAGATACTACAGACACAGTCTGTTTCACTTACGGGGTGCTATCGAGCACTGGAATGGGGAGGGCAGCCTGCCCCGCTGCGTGCTTCAGCTTGGAGATATCATTGACGGGTATAACGCACAGTACAAAGTGTCTGAAAAGTCGCTTGAACTTGTTATGAACACGTTCCAGATGCTTAAAGTCCCCGTTCATCACACGTGGGGGAACCACGAGTTCTATAACTTCAGCAGAAACTACCTAACAAATTCTAAACTTAACACAAAGTTTCTAGAAGACCAGATTGTGCACCATCCCGAGACTGTGCCTTCGGAGGATTACTATGCTTATCATTTTGTCCCGTTCCCTCAATTCCGGTTCATTTTACTGGATGCTTACGACTTGAGCGTCTTAGGCGTGGATCAGTCCTCTCCAAAATACCAGCAGTGTCTGAAGATACTGAGGGAGCACAATCCAAATTCGGAGTTGAATAGTCCGCAAGGTGAATTATTCCTTTGAGCTGAGAGTCTAATCCATTGTCTTTCCATTCTTCAGCTACCTTTTATTCAGCAGGAAGATGGATGATTAAGGTAAAAGTATATTGTCACTGTTGTTCAGGGTCAGGATTTCTCCCGGCGTGTGGACTGGCTGCCGCTGGTTCAAGATTCATTTATTTAACGGGTATCCGAATGCCTGTTCTGGGCCGGGCCCTTTTTCCAGGGCTAGCTCTTCAGAGCCGGAAACGATGGTGACAGTGTCACCTTTGTTTTTCTTTGGATGGATGCAGTGGAGGAAGCAAGAGAAGTAGGCGGGCAGGACAGACCACAAATGAAAAAGACAGAATTACGGCTGCAGCCATAAGTGCTACCAAGAAAATTATGTGTAAGCCTAAAGAAAAGGACTCGGGGTAGTGTTTTAGCTTAGCTGGTCGGAGGTGGCCTCTCCAGGGAGAAAAACATTTAAGCAGAAACCTAAATGATTGGAAGGAGTCATCATCCTTGGGAAGTGCAGGGTGGGCGGAGTATTCAGGACAGAGCGCGGGGCAGATGGAAAGATATGAGCAGAGTGACATGTTAGCATCCTTAAAGGACTCAGGAAAAGGCCAGTGGGGCGCAAGGTGACTTTGTGTGGCCCGTGGACACAGGAGCCTGTGTTTTGTTTTCAGTGTAACGTGGAGCTAGCGAGGTAAGCAGTTGGGTGGGTACAGGCCGTTTATCTGTCTGCTGCTGTAAATTCTTGCGGTTTCTTATTTTAAGTCAACTTCTGCCGCACATTCCTACAGAAAAGTACAGGTGTCCCCACATTAGCCAAGTGTGCATGCCCAAAGGAGGAAGAAGCTGACATCGGATGTGTCTGACATACTGCCTTCATTTCAGGACTTTCTGAGCCCCAGTTTGTCCAGTTTAATGGAGGATTCAGCCAAGAGCAGCTGAACTGGTTGAATGAAGTTCTTACGTTCTCTGACACAAACCAGGAAAAGGTGGTGATTGTGAGTAAGTATTTAAATTACTTGATTACGCCAGCATTTTAGAGAATGGGAAAGTGGGGTTTGAGAGTGTACTAATGATATTTATGTCATGGTGTCCTCTTGCTGTCAAATGAATGCTTACCTTTCTTTATTGAGAACCTGAGTATAAGATTGACATTTACAGCTGAGTCAGGAAAGAACCGCAAAATAGAAAAAGTATCTTGCCATGTGTTAGTGCCTGTACGTTGGCCTTTTAGGTTTCCGAGTGGAATTTCAGCACATGGGATCATTTTACATAGTACAGTTGACCCTTGAACAGTGTGGGGGTTAGGGGTGCTGCCCCCTCACAGTCGAAAATCCACGTACAACTTTTGACTCTAGAAACTTAACTACAAATGGCCTACTGTTGGCTAGAAGCCTTACCGATAACAGTTGGTTGATGCATATTTTGTATGTTATATGTATTATACGCTGCCTTCTTACAATAAGTAAGCTAGAGAAAAGAAAATGTTAAGAAAATCACAAGGAAGAGAATATACATTCACTGTATTTTCTGTATTTACTGTAAAAATGTGTGGATAAGTGGAGCTGCGCAGTCTAAACCTTTGTTCACGGATCAGCTGTGATATCTGAGTGAGCAGTTCAGGCCAGGCCCCATACCCAGCCTCAGCCTCAGGACGCCTGCCCGTCAGTGTGGTGGCTGCCGGCCGGGGGCCTCTGCTATCTAGTTGGAAGCGAAGCTCGTAATAGGACACGCGTTAGAGACTCACCTGGCAGTGAGTACTTCACTTCTAGACTCTCTGCCATGTGTTTGCAAGGAAGTAAGATTGCTGTTATTTCCACCTAGAATGTCTTTTCCAGACACGCTGTCATCACAGGTCGTACGAATCTGGAGGTGCTTAACATATACTCAGCTGCAGGTGTTTGCACACGTGTGCACGCACACAGGGGACTGAATTTGGATTTGCAGTGTGGCTGGTGTACTTGGCTTGGGCACTGAGTTTAGATCCTCGCTTTAGAACTGATGTGGCAGAATGACAGAGAGGACCGTGCCTGGGGTCCCAAGGACGGGAGGCCGGTCTGTGTGCATTTGCTTCTGTGAGCCGTATGAGTCTGCGTAAATGTTGAACCTACAAACTGCGGTTTTTCTCTGGATTGCACCAAATAGAATGACGAACGTGAAAACCCCTTGAAAATGACAAGCTCTTCTGATAGTTGATGATCTAAAAGTATATTTCCATAAATACTTGTGAATCTTTCCCCGATGTGGGGCAAACGTGTAGATGGAGTAGGAGTGTGTGTGCTGTCGTGGGAATTCCAAGTGGCATCCCAGGCTCGGAGAGTACAGGATTCCCCGGCGGTTATTGCGCGTTGTGACCCTCTTTGGCGCTACAGTAGGTGGTCTCTAGAACCGGAACACTTCTTGACGTGTCTCTGCTCTTTGGCTTCCCAGTGTCAGGCTGTGCCTGTCACTCCCGAGAATACTGGAGCTGAAAGGGACCTCACGTCTTATCGTCGACCCTTTCAGTTCAAAGATTGGGAGACTGGGAGATTAAATGACCTAGTTGTGTCAGTAGCGTGTGATTCTGGCTGAGACTCGAGTCCCTCCCATCTCCTTTCCTGCCCTGTCCTGGATTCCCCCGTTTCCTGTTCCGTCAGGGCCCATGTCTACATTAGCTGCCTCTTAAATTCCTCCCTGTGGCTGTAAGCCCAGAACCCGGATGAACAAACCTTTGGCAACTGAGTGCGTCAGGTTTTCTATAACAAAGTTTTAAATGGCTAATGGCGATTCTCTTTCATTTTAGTTTGCTCTTTGACTTTGCATTTTGGGGACTGAGAAGTCATTTCGCCTCCACCTGTGGGGTTTTGGCCATGCAGTTGGAAGGTTAGCATGCTGTTTGCTGACGTGTTCGCTGACATACGGGGCACTGCCGCAGGACGGGGAGCCGGGTGGGGAGTTCTGGAGTTCGACCATGGTAGGGTTAAGTTTTAGACACGCATCAGGCATCTGTGGAGATGTTGAGTCAGCAGTTTGGATGTTCGGGTCTGAAATTCAGAGTGGAAGTCTGGGCTGGGTATAAACATGTGGGAGTGGAAAGAATGTCGGAGACATTTGATACTTTACTAGATCACCAGCCACTTTACTAGATTGGAGAAGTTATGAGGTCACCAGGCCATTAGGTGTCAGTAGGGAAGTGGAGCCCAAGGACCAAGCATTCAGGCACTCCCAGTAGGAAGTGGGGGAGATTAGGAGCCCGCAGAGGGGAGTGAGAATTCGTGGCCATCGAGGTTGGGGGAAGACGAGGGGGACTGGTGGTGTCCTGGCAGCCCAGTGTTTCAAGGAGGGGGAGCAGGTCACTGTGTCAGGAGTCCAGTGTGGCCTCTCGATCTGGAGAGTCGCTGGCCCCTTTGGACTCTGAGCTGTCATCACGGCTTCGAGAGTGGTTGTGTGCGTGTGTGTGTGCGTGCGCGCAAGTGCGCACACACTTGTAAGTTCTTCTGACTCCTTTGACTCTTTGGGGATCTGTTAACACCCCCCTTTGTAACTTGTATTACAAACTGATAGATATTAAACAGTAAAAATACTCATAAGAAAAATTCAGAATAAATTTCGGTAGCAAGTAAATAGTAACAAAACAGGAAAGTGATTTCAGGGCAAGAAGCAAAGCCGAGGGAGCTTTTGTGCCTGCGCTCCAGAGTGAGACATGACGTGACCCCATGTGTGTCTTGGCGTCAGGAATTTGAAATCCTTTGGCTCTACTTCCACGTATGTCCTGTGGGACCGAGTATAAATACTCCCTGCTTTACCTTGCTTTTCTCATCTGTAAAACGGCTCCGGCTCCCGGGATCTCACGGAGGCATGTAAAGTGGCATGAATCCGTTTTAAAGCATTGAGTGCCTCTATAAATGATCTCTAACCCATGACCCATCCCTAAACTGTTCTCAAGTTTAGGGGTACCTCTTTCTGTGTACCCAGCGCTCGTGTTCAAGAGACTGGACTCCAGCACGGCATCTACCTGGCTTCTGGCCACCCTCGTGGACAGTTCTGCATGGGATGCCCTCAGTTTTTCTTGGGGTTTGTGCGTCTTCAGATACTGTAGGCTGTAGGGATCTCAGGGGTTCTGCCTGGACAGTGGCCTCTCCCCGTGTATGTGGACTGTCCCCCGCTTCTGTATGCTGCAGAAATGTGGCTTTGGATTATTTGGTGCTTCTCTGGTCTTAGTCTATTTGAAATAAGTAGCGATATCCTTTTTTTTTTTTTTTTCCTGCATATTAGTTTTTCGCCATTTGTTTTGATGAAAGAGACATTTCCTAATTGGCTCCTAACTCTTCTTCTCTTTAACTAACAGGCCATCTTCCCATTTACCCAGAGGCCTCTGACAGTGTGTGCCTGGCCTGGAATTACAGAGATGCCCTGGCAGTCATTTGGTCTCACAAGTGTGTGGTGTGTTTCTTCGCTGGTCACACTCACGATGGTGGCTACTCTGAGGATCCTTTTGGTGTGCACCACATCAACCTAGAAGGGGTTATTGAAACGGCTCCGGACAGCCAGGCTTTTGGCACCGTTTATGTCTACCCTGACAAAATGATGTTGAAAGGGAGAGGCCGAGTTCCAGATAGAATTATGAATTATAAGAAGGAAAACGCTTTCCAGCTTTAGTCCCATTTATCTTGTTTACCGTTCTAGAGAGTGGTGGTTGAGCGTTGTGTTTTTATTTACCCCCCCCCAAATCCTCAGGCTCATTGTGTAGTATTCTATTTGCATAACAAAATGTATTTATGGCCTCAGTGTGGGTTAGCTCATGAGATACTCTGAAATGTCATTTTTGGATAATCTATCCAGTGCTGAGGATTGGAAACAAAATGAATGAAAAATGAAAGCAGCCTGAATCAGCCAGGGAGGAGACAGAACGGGGTGGTATAGTTCTCAAAACTGACTTCATTTAGCCTTATCTGACATTTTTTTACTTTTTACAAGGAGGATGTATTCATGTATTAACTATGTAACTTAAAATTCGTAATAAAAAAATAAAATCAGCTCAGGTAAACTTTCTCTGTGTATCCTGCTGTGTGAATGAACGTTGGACATTTTGCTCAGAATACCCATCATGTTTGTACATTTATAGGCTTGTATCCCTGTTGTGTAAACAACAAATAAGTTATTTCACAGGTGAATGTGTAGTCTCTCCCACGTGAGGCCGTGAGAGGGGCCTCCTGAGAAGTCACGCGGTGGCCTTGTGACTCTTAAGCAAAGGAAGACCAAGGGCCAGTGCGGCTGTGTGCCCACTGATGTCTCTTTGGGCAGCAGCTCGTGTCCAGCAGCTAGAGACCACAGTGGGTAGATGAATTTACTCTTGACTCCCTTTCTAGACAAATGGGGCACGTTAATTCGGTTGTCCTATGTGCTAAGTCTTATTTGTGGCAACACTTACTGGATAGTAAAGGGACCGTTGAAATGTAGAGAAGGTTTGACTCAGGGCCTAAAAACATCGGGAGAGAAAAAAGCAGTACTCGTCAGCGTCAGCGTGCCTGCCGAGTGCCCAGGCTCTGGGGGTACTGAGGTGTGTTTGTGCTCTGCGGCTGCTCGGCCAATCCACCACTACGTTGGTGGCTTCAGACAGCATGTACATGCTCTCTTACAGTTCGGGAGGCCAGAAGTCTGAACCATTTTCCCTGGGCTGAGCTCAAGGTGTTGTCCCCTCTCAGGGGGCTCTGAGGCAGAATCTGCTTCCTTGCCCTTCCCAGTTTCTAGAGCCTGCTTCCAGCCTTCCATTCCTGGCTCAAGGCCCCTTCCTCCATCTTCAGAGCCAGCAAGGCCGCCTCTTCAAACCTCCCTCTGCTTGCCTTATCAGGACAGCTGTGATTACCTCCAGGCTTACCTCCCCATCTCAAGACCTTTAACTCTATCGTATCTGCAAAGTCTGTTTTGTGATGCAAGGTAACGGTCCTGGGTTCTGGGGACCAGGACCTGGGTGTCCCCGAGGGCCATGATTCAGCCCACGGGAGAGGCGACTGTCACGTGCTCCCTGCATTCGCCGGCCTTACCATCCATAGATACCAAATGCTGAAGAAAGGCCTGGGAATGTGGAGGGGTGTTTAAATTTGTTTAACGAGATGAGGGATGACTTGAAGGAGGAGGAAAATGGTTTCGACAGGTGGGCAGAATAGCATCAGCAGAGGTGAAAGGGCATGCTGAATTGAGGAGTGGGGAGTAACGCTGTGAAGCTTCACCGAAAGGTGCCTGGGGTTATGGCAAGATGTAGTGCAAGAGCCGACAGGCCTGTGTCGTGAAGAGCCTTGAGTGATGAGCCCACACTCAGAACTGGGCTTGTCAGACAGCAGGGAAGCTGTGATTAGATCTGTGTCTCAGTCCCGGCAGCGGTAACGAGAGGCTGATGGAGATCCCGCCAGAGGGAAGAAAAAAGATGGGTGGGAAGACAGAGGTTTGGATAATAGAGACATCGAGCTTCCTGAAATTCAGTTGAGAACTGGAGTCTACAACAATCTCAGTAATAAAGACTCCTTTCAGGAGGCCGTGCTCATAGATACATAAAGGGAATTGCGTGTCATCACAGAATTCATAGTGCAATACTGGAGGTGCAGATGGGGTGAAAGGATATTTTGAACATCACTATTTTTTTTTAAATTGCAACATTTCTGTCTTTTAAGCACATAATCAAGCATTACATGGAGGATAGGTAGATCCTAGATGGAATTTGCAAATGAGTCCATTTTTTCCTATGTGATTTTAGTAGTTACATTAAAAGAGATGTAAAAACCAGAAGCAACATGCAAGCTAAGTGTATACTGAAGCACCGGAATCCTTTATATGTATTTTATTGACCCTTAAAATAAATTTCATGTTATTTGTTTTAATATCGACTAGATGTTTTTTTCTCCTTTTCCTTCCTCTCAATCTTAACAGAGAATGTTGCCTGACCAGTGGCCATTGTGTAAAACAAAAACCATACATACCTCCTTTAACAAATATTTGTAGAATATGTAATATTGTATTAAAGGCTGTAAAAATAGACAAATGGCCTGACTTATTCCCCTCTCCTGATATATATATATATATGAATATTTTTTGAGTGAAATACTTCCTAAATCTCATGAAATGGAATCTTGACTCCAGTGTTTGATGCTAGTAGATGTAAAAAAATCGCCATCCAACAAAAATACGATGTGAGCCACAGAAGTATTTGAAAGCAGTCACATTTTACAAAGTAAATAGAAGCAGATAACAATTTTAATGATATATTTTATATTAAACTCAATTCTAAAATATCTAAACTCAAATCTAAAATATCATTTCAACATGTAATCAATATAAGAATATTTTACATTCTTTTTGTACTGTGTCTTTAAAATCCAGGATGTATTTTATATTTAATAACCCATCCATTGACATTACATTTTCACTCGAAATACTTGATCTATATTTAGATATAAAACCTGCAGTTAAAGAAGTAGATTCACATGTCCAATTGTTCCAAACACAAGCGTTCCAAACACATTTATAAGTTTTCTAATAATTGAATTGACATGTTTTAAAATTAAAATGAAAAAAGAATTTTACTTCCTCAATCTGACCACATTTCAGGTGCTCAATGCAACATGTTATGGTTATGTTATGTTATGTTATGATATATGTACACGCACCATAGTGATGTTCCCATGTTGTGTGTGTGTGTATGCATCATGGTTATGGTACTATAGTTACCACATTGGAAAGCACGGTCTTCTCCCCTGGGTGACCTTTGACATTCATTTTTTAAAAAAATGTGTACAGATTTTGGTCTTATTTTTTATTTACAATGCATTTAATATTGCCTCTTTCCTTTTGGTCCCGAATTCCTTTATTCTACCTAACTCTCCTCTCTCTAAGACACACTCGTTCATTTGGCATCCCCATTTAGTTCATGGTGCTGCCCTGGTCCCGTACAGTGAGTTCAGTGCAGGGGCACAGCCCGTTCTTGAACCTCTGTGTCTATCCTATCACCCAAACCCTGCTTTCCTCTGCTTTAATCATGTGTAGCCCCTTATAAGCATTTGGTATTTCTGGAGTGCTCTCATATTCTCCAGTTCAATCCTTGCAACTGTACAAGTGAGTAGGAGATCTGGTATTAATCCTATTTTACAGATGAAGACATCCACCAGGAGGTTCATATATTTGCCCAAGGCATATAGGTAGTGATAAGTTGAGTTAGAATTCACAGTTTGGAACTTTCGTTCTGCTGCCTTTTCTACTACACTGTGACAACTGAATGTCAGACCCCCATCTCTTACCAGTCCCATGCAATCCCATGCTGTGTCGTAGGCATCCTCAGAAAGTTCTTAGGATTTTTTTTTTTTTATCACCTCTAAAATTAGCTCAAATTACCTTTAAAATAAACTCCTAGGAAACTGGCTTGTTACAACCACATTTATAAACAACTGACTGACAATACTCATTTGAAGAAGAGGATTCTTGACTTCATTTAAATTACTGTCTTGCAGTGAGTTGGCCAGGAGGATCGCATCTCCTTGTTTATGTAGATGTAGGTCCAAGAGATAAATGGGAGGAGAGCAATTGCAATGGCAGTGGCCAGCTGAATTCTTCCACCAACCGGACTCCTATAAAGACATACAGGAATTATTAACCACAAAAATCCAATAAAAATAATGGGTTGCTTTGGAAACAAGTACAAAGATTGAATTTGGTGAGCACATTTTTTTTTTTTTTTTTTAAGTAGACTCCATGCCCAGCATGGAGCCCAACATGGGGCTCAAACGCACCACCCCGAGATCAAGACCTAAGCCGAAATAAAGAGTCTCAGACACTCAACCGACGTAGCCACCCAGGCGTCCCCAAGGAGTTCTTCATTCTTAATGCAAATTTTTGTTGTTTGGATGTATTGCAAATAGCTTTTCCCACTCACATAATGATGTCTTTTGAGGAACTGAAGTCACCGATTAATTAGGCAGTGTTAAAATGGATCTTTTCCTAATGATTTCTGTGTCATGTTTAAGAAAGCTTTTCTTCCCAAGGTCTTGGAGATTTGGGGTCATCTTCTCTAAAAGTCTTAACTGTTCTGCTTCTCACTTTAGAGCTGTAATCCACCTGGAATTGAGGTTTATGAAAGTTAGCTCGGGAAAGTTCGTCCATATGAGTTTCCGTTGATCCAGTACTATGTGTTGAGAAGTCTGCCTTTCTTTGCTGCAGCTGCAGTGCTACGTAGCTCTGTCATAAGTCAAGGGTCTGCTTGTGTGTGGACCTGTTCCTAGATTCTACTCTTTCATTAGTTTATCTATCCCCCTACTTATTTTGGTCTTTAATTTCTCCTATAGTGTCTTACAGTCTTATTTATAGAGATTTTGCCTCTTTCTAGATTTACTCCTAGGGAGTTGATTTCTTGAGGTTATTAATTTATGTTTAACTTTTTGTTTTTATCATTTTCTGTTGCTTGTTGATAAAAATGCAGTTGGTTTCAGTACGTTCACCTGGTGTGCAGCAATCATGCTAAACTCACTCACTCTACTAACTTTTTAGATTCTGTTTGATTTTTTTTGTCGCCATGGATCATGAACGTTTTTCTTTTCCGATTGTTGTGCCTCTTATTTCTTTTTCTTGCCTTATTGGACTGGCTACGATCCTAGCTAGAGCAGTGTTGAGCAGAAGTGGCAGTGGTAGCTAATCCCTTCTCAATCCTGATCTCAGAAGGAAAGTTTTCAGCTGCTCACCACTGAGTCTCAAGCTTTGGTGCTGATACCACTTATCAGGTTCAGTTCCTTTCTACACCTGTTTACCAACAGCTCTTGTGAACAGATGATGAATCTTACCAAATGCTCTTTCTGAACAGATTGAGAAGATGGTTTATTTTTTCCTTTATTCTGTTAATGTGACAGAAAACATTGGTTGGTTTTTGAATGTTAAACTGTGTTCCTAGAATAAACTCTAACTTGGTGGTTGGGTTATATATTGCAGGATATGATTCCCTAATGCTTTGTTTAGGATTTTTCAATCTGTAGTCATAAAGGAGACTGCTGTGTAATTTCTTTGCCCCACCCCC